TTTCCTCTGCAATTAGCATTTATGGCAAATAGTTACCATATTTTTTAAGCATCTAAATTATGACCACAAAAAGCTGCACATTGGTTTTTCATTTGGTACTAAATTTAATAAAGCTAATGTAATTGTTTGTATATCTTCAAGGAAAGAAGATGCTTTTATCTGTAATATTATGTTATTTTAATTAGAGCAGTGCTCAAGAGTTTGTACACTGTTTGCAAGTGAAAATATTACCAATCTCTATATACAGTACAGTATATTAAGTAACACACACTTACACTGGATTGCAGTTGGGAGGGTTACTTTTGAATAACTACTGCCAAATAATTACTATTGAATAACTACTTTTTGAATAACTTTTTTTATATGTTTCACATTTAGATTTTTTACTTGTGATGCCATAAACAGCAATTCAAATATTTGATTACTGTGTTCTTGAGTAGAAATAACTACGCCACCCTCCAGATTGTATTCCCTTTTACATAATATTTTATTTTTAAAGTACCAGATGAGAAAGTACATTTTTAATTTTTCTTGTCTGACCGAATTCAAGTAATTTGAGCGTGGAGCTGCGTCAGAGTGCTTTGGCTGCCAAGGAACAAGTAAAGGTTAATTCCACGCTGAAATGTTGAAAGAAAAAATGCAATGTTTCGGCTGTTAAGCCTTCATCAGTTGTCACACCTGAAATGTCTTTTCTTTCTGATTTTCAGTGTGGAATTAACATGTATTTATTAATTTAATCTAATCCCAGTGCTGTCTTTCTTGCACTCCCTATGTAATAATATTTTATTTTCCCTGTATCTTTTGTTTTACTTTACATTATACTTTGCAGTTCATAATCCAAAGAATAAGAGAAAAACACAGGGTCCCATAGTGAGGCCAGTGAGTTGTGAAAAAGTATGTCTGCATTTGTTATAAAGTAGTAATTTGCAATATGGTGCAGGATTCTCTAGCGCTTTTTGTGGGATAATCAACTTCCATGGATTTTAGACTTCCAAGCAGAGTGCATTATATAGAGTCCTTGATGACTTCCTGAATTTCTCTTTTTTGCCCCTTAGAAGTGAGCATTATTATTACCTGAAGCTTTACAGAAAAGTAAATGAATGCAGCAGTAAATCTGTAGGAGCTGCATGATTTGAAAAATATGTATCAGACAAGGTAAAATTAATAATTGGCAGAAGTGTCCTGATTTTCAAGACTAAATCCTTTTTCCCCATGTTATGGGACAATTTATAGTGTCTTTCTCGGTTATTCCACTTGAAAACAAATGGGATTTAGGCAGATTATCATTGAGAAACTGGGTTGCTTTGGAGTTAATTACAGTAGGTTCAAGGAAAACGTGATTGTCCCAGTCCTTTTGCACCTCGATAAAGAATACACAGCCAGCGAAAAAATAGCATCATAAAGTGCCCTTTTGATTTCTAATCTTTACACTTTTCTCATTAATCATTGAAAAACTGAGACTGGGCCATGTGGTCCCTTTATGGAAGTTGACCATTTACTGTTTTTCATGCAATGGAAATAGGTATTCAAAAAATAATAATCACAATACTCACAAGAAAAGAACAAAAATAATAATCACAAACAGCTTTTTGTTATGTATGAATTTTTACTTTTATTTATACAACTTGATCAAATACAATTAAACATTACTTCTTGGTATGATGGTGCAGGTGAAACTGGGGTAGTTTTCCTTTGTATTGATCCCAGTGGGAAACGGGATAAACTACAAAATATATTTCAAATTCTCAGATCATTAGAGAACGTGTAGCAGCCATATTTTAGTGTCTGAATAAAATCAATTCTACCAGTCTGTGTCAGGTATCAGTGCAGACCGAGCCAGCTTACCGCTTTCAATTTTAACCTTGTGTGAAAACTGGTATAATTTCTCATGTTCCTAGTTTAAAAATATGACATCCAGTCCTGGCAAATAAAGGAATGCAGTATAGCAGTACAGCATATATAGTTACTAGTGTAACTTATTTTGATTAATTGGAAAAGTTTCACATGAATGTTTTAGTCTGAGCCAAATAAGACTCGTGCATTTACCTTTTGGAGTCATCACACAACCTGGCCCCAACTGTAGTCAAGTCATACCAGATAAATCCTGAATTTAGTGTAAAAAGGATTACAAAATGTACAGGATGAATCTGTAACAAATTTTAATTGGCAACTGGAAGCTGTTTTCCAAGTTGTTGTGGGCTTGGTGAAATTTTAGTCTTGCAGTGGAACCCTTTTTCATAGGTGCTTTGTCATTATGGTGTGTGCTTCATGCCAGCTATAAGTTGAACAAATGTTTTGGTGAATTAGATATTGCAAACCTTTGAATCCGCCTAGCAAAATCATTACATTTAATTAAGTAGTTTTGTAGTCTACAAATTAAGTACTATTAGTTTGCAAATAATGTGGAAATAATAGGTGAATTTGGAACAAAGAATCTCTTAAAACTATGGCTTCAGCATGACCATCAATACTGGCTTCCAGTGAAGTTATTCTCAGGTCATAAAACACTGAGTGGTTTATCTCCTTATTATTTTAAGGATTTAATGCTTAATAATTCTATAATCTAGAATTAATTCGTGCTCTGCCTCCACACAGTGCAGCACCACATCTGTGTAGCTCACTGCACAAATCCATTTGAGTCTCTGCAACAGTTAACCCTTTCATAATTTGCTTAAAGACCTATCTTTTGAGTAAATCTGGGGTTTGACTAAACCGATCTGTTTTTTTTTTTCGTTTTTGTTTATTTAACATTTTATTTCTCAGCTGTAATGTGGTGCAGCATTCTGAGTTTCTAGAAAATACCTCATCCATCAGTGCAGTGTTTTATGATGGTACAACTTTGATCCAGGTTTTGCCATTTTTTTTGGCTGCCTTTGTTGAGCTTGTTTTGTTTTGTTTCCAGCTATATCAGTATAATGTCATAAAGGTTAAAAGAGAAGCTAACGCTCAGGCCTCCAGTGAATGTCCACTGAGAGCACGCATAAAACTGACATCCAGGGGTTAAGGAACAGTGACCTGCCAAAAATAAGACCAATAAAAAAGTTTATTTGCCCGCTGAAAATATAATGCAGTCACATAATTTACTCTTTTTAACAAACCCCCTTTTTTCCACTGTTATTCAGAATGTTTGGGTTCGGTTTTGGCATAATTACGGTGGGCTTTGTATTGGATCTTACAGTATTATCTAGTGAGTCTAAGCAACTTTGATGAATTTTGCTGTTTGATAGGGGTTTCTATACCTGGGTGTTGGGCCTATAGGAGTAAAAGGTCCAGAGTGCTGTATCTGTGTTGCTGTCTAGTTTTAAACTCTGTATAATTAATGTTCCGTGTAGACAGATGAGCCACCTTCTTGATGAGTATGCCAGAGTGTGTCAGTCTGGGAATGCATATACCTTTAGAATTACAGGAGGAAATCCTTTGGCAGGTTTGCCAGGTCTTCAGTGGGTAATTACAAATCGCAGTACCTACACTGAAGTTCATTTTAGAATGTCAGGGGAGCAGTGTAGATATTTCTAAAGTATATAAAGGTCATTGTTTTGAATCATTTAATTTACTTGTGAGTATTATACGGTGAGTATTATTTAATAAATGCCCTGGCAGTGACTGCTTCATTTTTGACCTTGCTCATTCCTGTACTGCCAATGTGATATATCTAGGTTATTCTGTCAGTTTCCCTTTGTTCAGATATTTAGGATGAAATCATAATCAAATTGTAATTTTCCAGGCAGGATGTATTAGTTATTGAAGCATGTTTGGGTGTTAGTCAGAAATGACAACAGCTTGAATACATGCTGTTACAAGCAAATTACGAACATTAGACTGCATTCCTAAGAAAAGAAGCAGTTCAAAAATATTTAACCTAATCGATTTTTTGCACATATTTAATGTCATCTCTAATTTTTGTAATAATACTGTTTCCTCACAGTTTGAAGGGTTTTAATTTTTATCATTTACTGTATGATGGAGAGGAGGATTCAGGTGGAGTGCTTAAAAGGGCACTTAGAGCATTGTGCATGTGGTTTTTAAATGAGATAATGGACCAAAAAGCTTTAGCCCAGCTTGAAAGGAGCCGTTATGCTCATTCATATATAATTTGATCAGTTTTTTTTAGTAAGTAAAACAAATTCCAAAAATGGTTAAGTGACAATATGCAAGGGAATGGAGGGGAAATCTGGGTCACATTTTACCCTTTAACTAACAACCGATGAACAGTCCCTTTATGGCACCATGTTGTGCATATCAAACATTTTGTTTTGTCCATGGTGTCTTTTTTATGATCTGAAGACATCTTTAAGGAATACAAACAAATCTTGTACAAGGCTGTGTTACGAAGTATTTTGACCTTTTAATAGAAGGCCTGGGTTCTGCCCATGGCTGAAGCTTTTTGTGTCAGAGTGGAGTGTGGGAATCGGGAACAGGAAGAACAGAGTCCCTGCAGAAAAGCAAAGCTGGCTTATCCTCCTCCAGTATCCTGAGATGACATATTATCCGATCTGTCTCACAAGAACCTTGGTCTGTTCCAAAACCAGAGCTTGTTCTATAGATTAGTGGTCTTGGTCCTGGAAATAGCTGTATGGCCTGTAGTCACAGGAGTAGTCCCTGACAGGAAATACGAATTATAAGCATTATGAAGATAAGCAGCTACCACAGCACGAACAAATAATGTGCACCCTCAAGTGAGATTTGCAGTTATACTATGAAGGAAATTGACAAACTTCCCATAGCATTCAGGTGAGCAAGAGCAACTTTAGGTTTTCAAATAGTGAGTTATGGAAAGAATGTTCTTGTATATTAATGGAAGTTGATTGGTGTATTGGTGGCTGAATGCCTTTTTGTTTTACAAACATTATGTTCTTGTTTATTGTTAACACAAACTATATCATAGAAGAAATGACCAGACACAAAGTATCTACTGGTCTTGTGGCACGATCATAGAAATGTTCTATTATTCAAGCGTCGGTCAAGGGATTTTGTCTGATGTATATCAAACTCTGTTACAGCAATTTTGGAGAAACGCCCCCCAGGAAACGGAAGATGTGTAGGGCCACAGAGGGACCTTTCATCCAGAACCCAAAACGGACTAAAGAAGAAGAGCCGAAGAGGAAATAAGATTGCAAACGGGAATGAGACTTCTCAGACTGGGAAGGAAATCATTTTCGTCAAATATGTTTTTCTTTTGTGTATACGTAGTCAATCAAACCTTTTGTTTTTGTTAAACATGTATGTTGCACATTTCTTATGATTTTATTTAAATAACGTTTTTATTTGTTGCACATTTTCAGTTTGAAATGTTCATTAAACAGCTCTAAATACATTGCAGCTTTATTTCAGATCATTGCACATCTGCAGTTTACGTTTAAAATCCAAAGAGTGGCATTCTATTATATTCAGGTATACCAATAGAAAATGTTTGTGGTATGAATTAAAGAAAAATACAGGATCATTGTTTTCATCATGTGCTCCAGCCAGTACCAGTGCAAGCACACAGATGAACTGTGATGTGTAGCAGTCGTTGCCGTCCTGGAGAAACACAGTCTCTTCTGGTTCATGTTCTGAGTTATTAATCGCAAACTAATTGCATTTAGCTTTTTTGAAGAATTGTTTCCATATTCCCTTCAGGTCCTCTACCTTGCTTTGAGTATGTAATTGGTATCAAGTCTGTATCAGTTTCTGAGGTGAGGAACCCCACTGATCCTAGTGCATCAAATAAAAGGCATCAGTGATTTAAAAGCTGAGCAGGAATGAAGATCAGCAGAGATGGCAGTCTTCCAGGACTGTGGCTTAGTGAGCCACTAACTTATTATTTTATCCAAAACAGCGGAATGCTCACAAATGCCTAACGAAAAATAGAATTTGAGTTAGCAGGTCCTTTTGAAATTTTGAATGCGAATGAATGGCAAGAGTATCCCTCTTGAGGAGCCCCAAGAAAAAAAGAATCAGAGTCCATGACTGTGAGGTGCAGCAATCATCAGGCTTTTTTTGGTAACAAAGGTGTTTTTAACACAAGCAACTTTGAATCACTGCTAGCTTTCACAGAAGGTGCATATATAAGATTACAAGTGTTATGATTACAGTGTTTTGAGATTATCATGATGCTAAATCAGTCCTTCAGTTTTGTCTTCCAATGTTTGTAACTTGTTTTTAGCGGCTTTCTCTCTGCCATCTCGACAGTCCAAGACTGTTTTATGGCCCAGATAGCATCAGCATGGCCAGGTATCTGTCCCCAGATTTGTTTTCTCTGCAAGTAAAGCATCTGTCATCACTTTAAATTCCATAAGCCATTATCATAGGACAAACTTTAACAGCTCTGTCACCAGGCCTGCACCATTTCATTTGCAAGAAATTATAGGATGCTGTAAACTTGCAAGTCATTTACTGATAGCCAAAAATGATTTTACCCTATCACTGTTTTAATGGAGTGATCTGGAAATGTTATTGTGTGAATAACCCCAAAAGTGTCATTAGGATGGCTAAGTGTTTCACAATTAATATTGCTGCGGTTGTCAACAGAAACCTTAACAAGGTACATCGCTAATGTTATTCACAAGGAATTGCAGTGTGTTCAGTTCCCCAGCTGATATTTAAAAGCTCAAATGACTAGAATGTCTCAGTGTAATCGACCAGGAGCTGATTAATCCAAGTCCTTCCACACAAGGGAGAAGGCACAAATGTCACAAGCACTAACATCCTGCTGTCTCCTGCAGAATTATGCTTTGCTTAGAAAAGTGTTTTTTTTTAATTAAAATCTTTGGTTTTAAAATTAATAATAAAACAAAAAAATGATCATTAAGGTTTATAACTAAAACTAAGTTATTGAGCAGAGTCAGACATATCTATTACCACCATCCTTAGTCAGCTGCATAGATGAAGATTGAATGGGTATAATTAAATCTTTGTCAAAGGTGCAGAAGTCATTTTTGTCATTTTCTTTCAATTCCACTTGGTAGATTTGAATTTGGAAAAACAAGAATATTTTTTACACTTTTTGCAATGCACAACAGTGTTAAAATCCCAGTCTTGGTAGGTTAATAACATTCAATGGGTCTTATTCATTATTTTGTGCTTGTTAAGCACTTTTACTGCATACTATGCTCACCTCCAGTATTCACTAATAGCAGCATTGCTAGAGGTAGGTATCCTATACATTTAAAACACAACATGCAGAATAATTGTAATGCACTACCACATGTTATAACTTCACACTGAATACAAAGCTTAATCCTTCAATCCTTATCGCTGAAAAAGTAATTTTCTTTTTTTCTGCAAACTTGCTGGCTTGATGTATGGCGTGATCTAGTGAGGGCAGCATATCAACATGATGGTTAGTACGGCTGATTGAGGGTGTCTTGTATGTGGAATTTGCATGTTTTACCTGAGTTTGAGTGAACCTTCACTGGGTGGTTTGGCCTCATTTTCCAAAGACACACTTTGATATATTTAAATTGTTTTCTCTTGTGTGTGTATCCGTCTGATCAATGAAATAGACTGGTATTCCGTCAAGGATTTAGTCCCACTTTCCCCCCCGTTTTTCTGGGATTGGTTTGGCTTGCCGTGACCCCTGCCAGGAATAAGGAACTTTCTGCTGATGGAGGTTTGTTTATCAGATGAAAGACCAGATAAGGACACCGTAGCTGTTAGTACTTAAAATTTATTTATTCATCTTTTTTTGTTGTTTCTATGCTTGTACATGTATTTGTATAAAATTTACTTCAGAATCACTCTAAATGTGCCTCATATTTACATCAGTTAAATGCCCCATGTAAGCCCCTTTGGAGATAAAAGTATGAAAATCAAACAAAAAACATATTAATATTATTTTCCCTAACTAATTTCTCATGTATTTGAGGTTAATACAAAATAACACTTGCAAAAGTCCATGTTTAAATTAGCAACAAGGATATACTATTTTTTTATAAGCCTTTCAAGCTGAAGCAGTATTTTACAGCAATAAAAGACCTTCACGTATTTATTTGGTGTTGACTAGAAAATGTCAAGTTTATGAAACGTTTCATATACAGTAGAATCATTTGAATTGATTTTATTTTGAAGATAACTTCTTTTAAAATTCAAAGAAATATTTTCATGTGAGAACAATGTTTATTACAGGGGAGATGGTCAAACGTACATCTTGTTATAAAGCTGTAGGATATTTATGCTAAAGTAAACATAGGCAGCCAGACTTCGCTCAGTGGCTCTTCAGGGTTTGTGATGAGAACAGCACATGCAGGCTGCGTTTCTGGCAAGTTTCCTTTGTGCATGAGGATGTGGCTTTTTAAGGACACAATCGTCTACATGTTGACCCCTGCCTGCATTGGTGTGGTTCCCTTTCACGTTCGAATTGCTGCTTTTTTCCTGCAGATATGTACTTGCTGACAGCTCTTTTATCAAACACCTACCAAGCTTGCTTAGTGCTTGTCAAGTCAGGACTTTCCACCAGCGCTGTTTTCGTCACTCAGTGCTAGGATCTTGACTTTCCATCAAGTAAGTTTTGTGCTGATTTAACTGTGAGAATAAAACTCAGTTTTCAGTTATTCCCATCTGAGGTTTTCTTACCATTAGGTGGTTGATTGGCTATGAAACTCTCCTATGCTTTTTCTTCCATATTCACATCTCTTCCAGTTCAGTTGTTCTCTGATGCTAGAGTGCATGACTTACTCTGTTTCCTTGAATGGTAATCAATAGCATTGTATTTATCTGTTCCCTAACATTTCTCTTATTCTCTCCTCTCTTGTCATACTAAATCCAAGCATTATTGTCCACTAAGTCTAGACAATTACTTGTGCTCCCCTTCAGGGCATGTGCAGGTCACAGCAAGCCTGTTCAGCTACAGGCTGTAACACATAAGGCTCTGTGCAGAGCAACAGCTTGCACATGTCCATCTTGGCTCCTGTTATCAGCAGTTTTCTCTCTGTTCCATGCACATTGGTTTGGTTTGGCCCTGTTCAATCCTGTTCAGTGCTAACGCACTCGAACACTGAATCTTGGGGGCTTTGGTGTTCTACCAGGAACACTCTGTTTATTTAGCCAGTTTGGTTCACTTTCTGGTGTCTCCATTCAGTTCATCTCTTTTTTTTGTTATATGTTAATTTCAAAGCCCTTTCACCTGTCATTTCTGCCCTGCTTGGTTTGATTCAATGACCAGTTGACATCCTTTTCATTCATTCCTGCCAATGCATCTCCCCTTGCCATTCAGTCCTGTCTTGCTCACTTTGATTCACTGGGTATTTCAGTGTGTTCCCTGCTGATGCATCTCCACTGGTTTATCCTTACAATAATTCCTCTGCTCAGTCCAACCATTGTTTAGTTTGTGCCCTGGTTCTTACTGTCGGAATTGAAATCTTTGGAATTGAAAACAAAGTAATAGGAAAATAAATAAACCAAATAAAAAATGAGTAAACCAAGTCCAAAATAAAAACACCCAAGCAGCTTTCTTGTTGTTGAGCAGCACCATGCTAGGATTCTTGCCCTTCCATCTCTGTCTGAATAAAGTCCTTCGACATCATCAGAAGCAGAGCAGAGTCACTACCACTCAAGGTGCAAGTGCTTTCCCTTCTTCACTGTCAGAACAACAATTTCGCTTCCCCTCAGCAGCTATGGCCAAACCTTCCCCTGAAGTGGCACCCGGGTGCGTGACTTGATACTCTCACCCTCATCATACCTGCTTCATACTCTTCTTACTCTGAATGAAGAGGTGTCATCACCACGACACCATTGTCCCCTCTGACTGTGAGATGTTTACTTCTCTGTATTTCAGACTCATGACCTGATATTTTTGCTCAAGCCATGGCATCTTGAGCAAAACCGTTGGGAACTCGCTGGAGCACCCTTGATCCTTACAGACCCTTATTTTGAACTTGATGTCACCCTCTCCAGCTGTCTGCTTATCATCTGTGGACTTGTACACCATATTAGTGAACTATGTCATCACCTATGAAGTTCTTAGGAAGGACCCTTATGAGATGGGCAGGTCAACATCACATCAACATCGCATGGGCCAAGGTCTCACAATGTAAATGCTGCTGATGCCCATGCTCCCAGATTTTGGAGGCAGAGTCAGTACATTCCTAGACATCTGTGCCTTTGCTCCAGCTACCTGAACATGTCTGGGTGCCACATGGTGTCTATGATGTACAAAGCCACAACGGTTAACCTCTGTGATGCCACTATTGTTACCTTGGTCCTGCATGTTAGTGATGACCTCTACTGTAAGGGTTCTTCCTTCCCTGACAGGCACCAAAGACTAGTTGAAGAAAAGCTGTGCTATGAGTTTCAGTCAGATTTTGAAACGAAAGATTCAGTTTCCTTAAATCCTGA